TTAAAACGTTATATTCTTTCATAAATCATAATATGCCCCATTGTGAAGAACAATCATTACTTCATTGCTGTAAGGCTTCGGGAGCCACAGCTTTGGCTGCGTTTGAGTAAGAGGGAATTACTTGTAAAAATCGTAGGATTGCACGAGTTAGGCAACCTACTGTAACTCTACACATATAACGAAAGCAAACCATCTCTCTGATAATTCCTGAAACTTTAATGGGTTAAATAAACAACTATAACGAAGTTTATGGCAGTCCACCTCCAGTTTCGACGGCGCGGCCTTTTGTTTACCACATTTCTGTCCGTTTCGTTGCTGCAAATTAGTGCAAGTTGTCCCAGTCTATATCGCCACAAAGGTTTGCAAAGCTTGCTTAATTTGCTTTCAAAACCTTATTATCTCCCTGAAAACAAGAATCCCGATATTTTCAAGTTTGCTGATTTGAAATGCTCAGGCAGCCAGAATATACGACATTTAACGAAAATTAATAATAATTCTGTCAACAAGGGCATTTCGTTTTACTCGACTGCAGTGCATGCAAACTAATTGAATAAGTTTCTCTTCTGCGATGTCGTTGTGCTCGCCTGCCTCGCGTTTCCTTTCGCGAGCTGTCCCATTACTTTCGCAGAAGAGATTCGGAGGTATGCTGCCCGGTTTGGATAGGCCTGCTTTTTTAAAAATGAAAAATTGCCTTGACTAAAGTGAAACCATTCTGCACGTAGGCACCGTGAATTTGCATATATCTATTATTAAGTGAATGACCAGAAAGTGTTGGCCGTTGAGCAACTCAGGAGTGATATTAACGTTTATTTGAATAGCATTCGTCTTATTTAATATTCGAACCAATCGTCGGGCTGGTGAACTGTTCGGAATACCTGTCAGAATGTTCCTTCAGAAACTGGGCCGAAAGAAGCCTATAAACAATGCTTGTTACCACTAGACTCTCATGTGCACCCATCTCTATAACTAGTATCAAAGTCGTTTAGGGTCTGTCGTTATTTCTTTGAAGCAGACCCTGTTTTCGCTGCTTTTTACTTCCTGAATTCCGATTCAATTGATTTTGACCACTCCTAATTGCATTTTACTTTCCAGACAACGTACTTATCCATTTCCACACTAACATAACCTTAATAGTATGCGGCTTGTAGATATCTAATGAGCAGCGCGTTGTAGGCCCAATTGTCCAATGTTTACAAACGTTAACACAGAGTATGCCGTATTCTCTGTTTATTCTCAGACAGCGCGTCTTAAAGCTTAGCCAGCAATGGCTTTCATCCACAATCCAATCGTTATGAGTCTTTTTCATTCGCAGATTCCTCCATTTATTGATAGCTGCACCGTTTGACGTATACTCAGCTATGGAATCATCCGAAGCTCAAATCCGATTGCGCCATCACGATACATGTAACCAGTGAGGTTTCATTTCGTAATAGGATACCTCAGTAGTTTTAGCCATCAAAATGATCCCACATGTCAACCTTGACCGCCATTTAAGGGACGCTTCTCAATGAAGTTGCTACTTTCGTGTTTTTAAACGTTTATCTTCGATTTTGGTTTCATCATGCTTTGGTTTCTATGTTTAGCCTGGCATGTCGACTGGAAACCTGCCCGCTATCCTACAACGCCAGCGGAGCGTGCTGCTGCGGCCAAAAAGTATGGACTTCTTCCACAGGATTACGAACCCTATGAGAATGATGGGAATGCCCCGGGTGACTATCCCAAGTTGGAACCCTACAGTGAATTGCATCGTGACCCGTTCGAACATTATGATTATGGCCAGGTGAAGCGTAATTACAACGAACCGCTTCCATGGGATTGGGATAATTACTGGTCCATGGGCTATGATCCTGCGCAACAGGAGCTGCGTTACGGCGAGCCACGGTAAGCAAGGAACAGTCTCTTATAAAATTTATCTTTCAAAGTCCTGTCCATGTTTTCGAAGGATTCGCAAGAGTTTGGTCTATCCATCGTAATAGTGCTTAAGAGATTAAGAATATGGCGATTAATGTAGGCTTCACCGTTGTAGAGTGAAAGAGCTGGATTCTAGGGCAAGTGTGGAGCAAAGCAGGCCACTGTTTTTAGCCTCCCTGCTCTCTGACGCATGCATACGTCCTGTCACCCTTTTTGTAAATGAAGCTGCTCTTTCAACTTCTTCCTATCGAAGTATTTTAGCCTTCCTCGCGCTTGTTTATTGTTTTGCAGATTGAGTGACTAAGTAGGCCACCTAGTGCATTTATTGTTGGCTATTTTGCCTTGCTCATATCATAATCGTTCAAGAGTGGATGAAATCTCTTTTTCAGGTGAGGTAAAATAGCTTGCCTGTAATGCATTTCTCTTCCTTAGCGACTGTTTGTTTTCATAACGGCTTTACTTTATTCC